GCTAAATTAGGGACGGCTAGCCCAGATAACCCTCGTGTAGCTTTGCGCGAAATTCAAAACAAACAATATTTTCCATAAAGTTAAAATATTAAATTATTGTTTATCTGTTAATGTGAGACTGTGTTGTGGTGGTTTTTGTTTTTGTTGTTGTTGTTGTTGTTTATCAGTGCACTTTGTATGAAATACAATTAATGTAAAGTGTCTCAAAATATTTTTCTTCTTTCTCATTTAGTCCTTGCAAATTTCTTATGTTAATATATTTGATGCATTGAGACAAATTGTATTCAGAATTTTATTTCTATGTTATCTTGAGATAAATAATAAAACTACTGTTCAATTTTAAACAGCTGTCGAGCACACTACTTGCCGATATAAGAATTAGTGTTGAACATAATTCAAATATCGATTAACTCTGGTTTCTTTCAGGAATGGTTAGATTCTTCCTCAGACACATCTTCTTACCACGATGACCAACAAGCTTCTTTCCACAAGGAATTAAATACTTATCTACCCGCCACACCAGATTTAAACAGAATACCTTTATCTGGAAATACTTCTAAACTCTACCACCCTCCTATTGCCCAGAAGAAATACAAGTTGTTTGGTCATCGACTACAAAATATTCAAAATGGGGTAGTTAAGCTTCTCTACTTAGAATTTATATTTGTGCTGGGTGATAATTCATGAAGTTAGTAGACCAAACTTCCATTAAATGCCAAACCTTATGGTTTGGTATATCTTTCAAACGTTTTATTTCAGTTTAATCATTGTGTTTCATTTTATTTTTAATTTTACAGAATGACAGATAGATGGGAAGGTAGGTCGGTGTCACTTGTTTTAAAAATTCTGCTTTCCAGTGTGTAAAATGTTTGTTTCACAAGTTCAAGTTAATTACAACACTAAGTAAATTGAATCTGCTACATTTTGGTGTCTCTGTGTGTGCAAATATATATTATTGTGATTTTAATTTTACAAACTGATGACACCGTTTATCAAACTTAATTATAATAAACTGATTTTTAATTGGTTTATAAATTACTATTCTTACAGGGTTCAGGCAATGACTTTGGAAACTTAACACCAGCAGAGACACCTATTAAAAACCTACATTACTTGTCAGGAAATGATCCAGCAGGAGTTACTTATCCTTATCCACCAACAGGAGGAGTAGAGATCTCAGACCACAACAGCCAGACATATTGTGGAATAAACCTATGTAGTACAATGAAAGGGTCATTTCCCAATAGCTTTCATCACATTGATAATGAGTATCTTCCGCTGCAAGGGATTAGCTGTTCTCACAAGCCTATTATGAGGGACAAAGTTAAGGGCATCACGAAAGAGCATAATCAAAGAACAAAAGACGAAAAATGTGCAAGAATCCTGAAGCTACCCATTTCAGTCTCTGAGATAATCAATCTTCCCATAGACGAATTTAATGAAATGATTTCCAAGTACGAACTGACCGAGTCACAATTAACCCTAATAAGAGATATTCGTAGGCGAGGTAAAAACAAAGTAAGTATGTCAAAACATACAGTTCAAATAATTTAGAAGAAAATTTCCTTATAAGATAACTTTGGCACTTTTAATTTAAAATTTAGAATAGGAAATCTCAAGAGGTCCTTTAAAAGTCATTCAGACCAATAATGAGTCAAGTTTCTACAGGTTATTTTATCTATAGTTAATACCCTCTGACTTCTCACATCTGTTTCACATTTTCGTAAAAGTAATTAGCAATTTATTATGTGTGGCGTGTTAAGTTTTTGATGTGTGAATTTCTTGTCTGTTTCTTTGAAATGAAGCATAAAGCTACACAATGGACTATCTGTGCTCTGACCACCACGGTTATCGAAACCCGGATTCTAGAGTTGTAAGTTTGCATACATACCGCTGTGCCACTGGGGGGCGTGTGTGAATTTCTAACAAACATCTTATTTCTTTAAATTATTTCCATAGTACATCTCTTATCAAAGGCATATAGGTAGGATGCAATGTAATATTTGTGTAATGACCTCCTCAAAAGGAATAATAAAAAATTATGTTCGTATTCTATGTATCTTTTTACATTAGACCAAATAGGATGATATCAAAACATTTTCCAATTTTTCGTGAAAATTTAAAAATATTACATGTGAGTGTACACCAATGTTCCCTCTATTTTTTCAGTCCATGTGCGGAATGAATTTTTTTCATGTGTACCAGTATCATATATATAATGCAGCCTTTTTTTTATATATATGCTTTGCAAAGTCTCTAGATCACTAATATTCACGGATATTCCAAGTATTTTAGCTCTAATTTTATAAACTTACATGATGTTAACGTTTGCATCCTCTAACTAACATCTTAATAAGACCATTGAAAATATAACTTACAATAATAACATTATCAAGAGAGTCATACAACTCTTTGGAAACAAAATTATAATTTTCTATGAGTAGCCCACCAAACATGCTCGCCCTTTCAGTCGTGGGGGCGTTATAATGTGATGGTCAATCCCACTATTCGTTGGTAAAAGAGTAGCCCAAGAGCTGGCGGTGGGTGGTGATGACTTTCTGCCTTCCCTCTAGTCTTACACTGCTAAATTAGGGACGGCTAGCGCAGGTAGCCTTCGTATAGCTTTGCGCGAAATTCAAAACAAACAAACACACAAACAAACCTATGAGTAGATGTATATATCACCAGTTGATGCTTCATGTTGAAAACCGTATCTTATTTCCAATTTAGTGCCAATTTAGTATATTGTTATGAGATGGTGTAATAATTCATTATTTTCCATACAGGTAGCAGCACAGAACTGCCGAAAAAGAAAACTTGACCAGATAATCACTCTGCAAAAAGAAATGGATGCTCTGCATGCTGAAAAGTTGCAACTGGAGGCAGAACAACAAAATAAGTTAAATTATCAACAGATGGTACAAGCAAAATACACACAGCTTTATGAGTATATCATGAATAAATCCACTGTTCCATGCGGTCAACATAGTCACCTAGATTGTGCTTCAACAAACAGTCTAGAGATTGATTTGTTTCCCATTTGTACAAACAATACTGAAATTGATAAATCAACAATGGATCATGAAGAAGTACAAGATCATCAGAAATCAAACAAGAATAGATCTGTGTCTTAAAAATTAACATGAACATCATATTAAAGTGATACTTAACCTCCACAGTCCGTTATCTTTTGTGGTTTAAGATATTACTGATTATATTTTTACGAATCAAGAAATGAAGATACCCTTTGTATTGAAAGAAACTTTATTTTTCAGCAAGAAAATTAATTCTTGGTTTGTGAAAGTCTGATCCTGCATAGTTCAAAATATAATTCTTAAGAGGAAAAGGTGTGTAAAAAAAAAAACGTAGTTTTCTATGAATATGTATTTTTTAAAAGAAAAATAACTAGTTTTTCTTACCCTGTTCGTATAGGTTTAGAAAAATTGCTAGTTTCGGTTCAAATGTAATATCTGCTCCATAGCTCCTGAAAGTGGATACTGTATACTACATAATTGAATGAATTAAATATCTTTGTAGCTGTACTCCATATATAAAATAGAAAAGACTTTCCATTAGATTCAAAAATCAGGTATAAACTAAAAAGGTATACATGTAGTTTTGTAAGAAGACAATTTCATAATGATGTATCATACAGATTATTGTTATACCCCACCCACAGCTGCTAAGTTCACATTATTATCAAATAACTATATATGTCTTAAGAACTTGAGGTAGAACCGGTTAAAAGAGATAAATTGGCCTATTGTTTTTGTCCTATTATCGTTATTAGTAAATTCTAAATAATTAGTCAGGGAATATTTCACCAAATTATCTGGAATTATATTTTCAGTTTAATGTACAATAGGTATTGCATATTATATCATTTTCTTAGGGAAATTTTTATATCAGAAGTGCCTTCATACACACACACACACACAGATATATATATATATATATATTTGTGTGTGTTATCTGAGTAATACACTGAGTTAAAAGCCTGAACAAAATATTAAGTTTTAAGGAGATAAATAAACATTCTTTACCTATTGCTATGTCATTTTCAACTGAAAACTAAACATTAATGGCAAAAACGTTGGATGGTCTTCAAGATGATAAGGAGAAAATTTTTAATTTCTTTGACAATTGGGCCCATGTTCAACATTAACAGCCGAGTAGATTTTATCTGTTGATAGTATTATTTTAAATCAGTTTTAGTTTAGTTGATCTCATTACAAGTACACTAAAAGTAACCCGAATATTCTTTTATCTTCATTTAACCATTACCCCCGAATAGGAAATTTTATTCCCAATATTACAAACTTATCATTTGTTGTGTGCAGAATAAGTACAGTCTCATATAAACCTTATTTGTATTACTTAATTTTAATATTTTTAATTCTTGAACAGCCTTTCAAATCATGTTTTTCTCTATTATGATTAAACTATATTCGTTTGCAGAACCAAAAAACAAAAACTTATTCTAAATAAAAATATTGGTCATAATCGTATAAAAACTGATGCTAATAATTAAGTTAAAAAAAACATTAGTGCTGATATTAAGTAAAGAAAACATTAGTGCTTTTGAATAGATAAACATATTTAATACTATAGTTCTACAGATTTGGTATAACTTGAATTAACAACTGTTGCTTCCGTTAATTATTTGTTCTCCAATGTTGAATAATGTCTATTAAAATAAGATGCACTTCCAAGACTTAATATTTAATCTTTTTTTATAAATGTATTACATAAAGAAATTAGAATTATTTTTAAATGAAAAGATTAATACTTAGATTGTATAACTAATTAATGGATTACATTTATCAAGAACACTATATCCAGATGAAGTTCTAGGCATCGTTTGGCAGGAACTTAGAACAATCTAACCAAGTTGAAGCAAATTGTCTAATAGCTCTTTTAGGGACTTCATAGTGTAGGAAGGAATACTTGAGATATGGAATACATATATTCCTTTACAAGTTCAAAATATTTAGACAAATGAGATAACTTAAGACTTTTATCGTCAAGTCAAAAGAGCTCATGACTTTCTGAAATTAATGTTTTCAGAAGCAGAAAGAACACATTAGTTGATGTACGTTTGTTCACAGCATAACTTACTTATCTTAAGTTAAGTTTGAAAAACAGGTCACTATTTAGAAAATGATCAACAAATAAACGCTCAACAATACACAGAAGGTGTTGTTTCTCACCTTTTTTCTTGGGAATTTACATTCATGTATGCTACAGATATACGCCAAATAATGCAGTATGAATTAAATCTGTGAGCAAAATCCTGTGTGTAATTTTTGGAAACTCTCGAGTTTTTAATGTATATCTTCTTTGTTTCGTCGTTACACCAAGCCTGAAATAATTACAAAGGTCTGAAAACTCAGAATATAGGTAATCTCATTGCTGCTATTAGATATGTTTAGTTTACTTCTTGTTACATTTATTATATCAACTGAAACTATTATCCGATGAAATATTTTTTATGCACAAAGTATTTTACTCAGAATATAAAAAAGCTGTTATAATTGTTTCAACGAATGTGTTCTACGTAATCAACTGATAGAACGATAACCAACAATGGATATTTTATTAATACTTTGATAATGTATATTAATCTATGCAATGATAAAATTAAAATAAACATTTTCAGTTGATATTGTCTTAAGTATCTTACCCCGATAGACCTTCAAAATTATGAAATGCTGTTTATTTATTTATCTGTTGATTTTTTTTTATTTCTTTACAAAAGCTTATGGTTCTGTCATACAATAGTAACATTTCAGACAGTATCACTATTCCCAATCCGTAAATGTTGTTCAATAGGAGTTGAAATGGTGGTTAACATTTTTCGAAGATAAATTCCTATTTTAAATATTTCTTGGTTTCTCTCTATATATAGTGTATATAGTAAGATAACAGTAATTATAGATTGAACCGAAGTCATGGTCAATGGCTTTATACACGGGATGGAGTGCTCAACATATGCATAGGGATGTGTGTAAACAAACTCCACACCACTCTGAATAGTAAGTTAAAATAAGGAATCGATAGTAAGAAAGCTGTGATTACGTGGAAAGACGTGATAATATAATTGCTGAACTCAACAGGAAAGCACAAGTAGATCATGCTTACAGACGAAAAAGAGATGCCCCTAGATTTAAACAATTTGACTTGAAATAAACAGGATAATTAGAAGAAAGAATTAGAAGTTATTATACACAGTGTTTCATTAACATGGATTTACTACATGACATAGCTCTTATTTTTAGAGTACAAGTTATCAAGTATAAAACTGTTTATTAATTCGTGATCACTAAAAGAACTAGCACTTCCTTTAACTCTAGTTATTGCTAATAAAGCACTTTTAAAAAACTCTAACTACCACATTCTTCCCCCTCTCACAAACAAGGCCTACCCTCGAGCCTTATCTGAAGGTATGGAAGACAACTAATTGGACGTCAGATTTTTTCTGTGGTATTCTAATTTTTTGCATTCTAAAACTCTCGAACGAAGAAGATTATTCTACCAACTGAGATAAAGAGTTAACCCTCTAAAAATTTTTAATAAAGCATTTTTCAACTATGACTAGCTGCCTTCCCTCTCATCTTACAATGCTAAATTAGTGACGGTTAGCGCACATAGTCCTTGTGTAGCTTTGCACGAAATTCAAAAAACAAACAAACATCTTTATCCAGTTTGTTTCTTGTTTTTAGTTTTACCTCAGTGGCCTCAAATTACTTTTTTGTTATGCCTAACACTACCATTTAGTAATCCTAGCGCTAAGCAATGGAACACTCCTAAATCTACGAATAAAACTACAAGCACAAGTCTACTAATATTATACACTTGAATAATACAGGCTTGATCTTATTTCGTTTCAAGAATTTTTTTATTAAAAAAATAAAAATGAAAATAAAATATGAGGAAAATTACCAATGGTATAAACAAAAACAAATCAGATAAAGTAAACTTCAGAAACATAAGTTTAAACCCCAGTGGCTTAACGGAAAGATTCAGGGCTTATAACGCTCTAATTGAGGATTCTATCCCGCGACGCACACAGTGAAGGTAGTCCATAGTGTAATTTTGCACTAAAACAAACTTAAGTGTCATTTTTATATCGAATGTCGCGTCATCTACTGGTCAGATTTGTTATTTCTAAACTGCTGCAGTTATTAAAGCTTACGCCTAATACAAGTACAGAAAGCCCACCTCTCGAAAAACACTTCAAAGTTTCAAAACCTCAATTTCTTTTGTCAGTTTTAAAATTTTAATTCCTAATCAAAACCTCTTTTAGATAAAGTATAATTAGTTTTACGTATTTCGTTTAGTCTTTGGTAAAAATTATTTTTAATGAATAATTTTAAAATAAAACAGTTTTTTAAGTACGACCAATTAGTTTAAAAGTATTATTACTATTGTATTTAATATTGTGCTTAAAATGTAAAACCTACTAATTGTATAATTGTTATTGCTTTGTCGAACTTAGTTTATATTTAATGAAAATAATAAATTTGTTTCGGGTTTCAAAATAATGTCTAAATCATTCTGTAATTTAAAGACACAACCTAAGTTGTAAAAATTAACAAGCTAAACATTGGACAAAATTTCATTACCTAATTTAAACCAATAAGAACCATTTCCCTTGTATTTTCAACAACTTTTGTTCCCTATGCATATAGTAAAGTGGTTTTTAAACAAGTAACCTTATAAAAATCCATGTACCCCCAGTGGCTCAGCTTATAAAGCTAAAAGCAGGGTTTCGATACCCGTTTTTAGCACAGCACGGATAACTCATTGTGTAGCTTTGTGCCTCACAACAAACAAAGGGACCCCGAAAGGCGGAAAGTAAACCAGTATAAGAGAAGAAAAAGTAAGCAGTTTTATAGAAAATCAATCAATTTACGGTAAAACGAAAATAATTTTTGGAATTTTTATTCATTGTTCATCGTTAAGAATTTGATGTTTTGAAGTGCTTTCCAATAAGCTTTAAAAATAACAACAATTAGAAATGACAAGTCATACCAGTAAATTGTGCTATATTCTATATCAAACAACACTTAAAGTTGTTTATTCTCGTGCAAGGATATTTCTGCCAAGATTGAAATTAAAGCAATGATAAAAT